CAAGGCATGCAAAGTCGTCCGGGCTCGTAAGGTCGGAGGGGCGGGACTTCAGCTTCAGCGACTCAGGTGGAGCGTTGCACTTCATTCTTATGTTGTTGTCCCAATTTCAGACAGAAGCCTTACGATGTAGAGAAGAGACTAGGGGGGGAAATCCCAGTCAATATACGAACTGAGGTACATCCGGTGTAACCTACACGTGTTATAAGCACAAGTAACTAAATGGGCCCGCCCAGAAGGAGTAGCGGATCAAGCATGATATTAATGAATGAAGAAAGAGACAAATAGTTAATATCCGCAAACTTGGTCAACAAAAGGCAAGCAAGAACAACGAGTGGCAAAGGAGGAACAATAGTCCACAAGCGAACAAAAGAGAAAAGGCCATCCGGCTGTCTAGCAAGCTGTCCGGTTGGTGGGTGGACAACAAAGAACCACTTGAGCAGGCAACCTTGGTTGGGAGGTATGCGCATGGGGGAGGAAGTGCGGATGAGGGTGACGGGTGGATGGATGGATGGATGGATGGATGATGATGTTAGCGGGCGGGATGGGTCAAGTGGCACTAGGGCACATTGATGGAAGTGACAGATGTGCCAGGTCGTGACATGGAGTCGGCAAATACATGTGGCTTGGTAAATAGTAAACAAGCGCGCTTTTGCATGCGATCTCAGCAAGATATAAATGGAATAAAATGGGAAAGCATGTGCAGCCTTCTCAGGCCTTACAGGGATCGACTAAAGTCAACCACATGATTACTGACAGAGTGCACCAACTTTCGCTATCTTGGTGAATATTGAGAACTGAGTTCAATGCAAGAAAATTCCTTAAATAAAAGAATTATTTCTCAGAAAGCCTGAGTGGCTGATCCAACAAAGGAATCACAGTAAATTCACAGAAAAGTTCCAGCAAGAGAAAAGCTCTGCAGGGGTTCTGTTTCCTAGTAATTCTAACATCCTGAGTTTTAAAGACTAATGTACAACAAGGAGAATTAGCCAAAACACTCAGGCAGGCACAAAGATCTCAAGTGCACATCCCCAAATGAACAAAGATCTGTCATGACCGACAAATCCCGGGGCTCTGTCAGCGGCGAACCAATGCCGATAGGCGAATCCGCCGACCCGAAACCCATCCTAACCAGCCCCCAACCCCATGTCTGGCCTCCTGCCTTACTGCATGAGACTTGGCCAGTAATCAGAACCTAGACCCTGCCGGTATTCCGACCTTACCTCCAGTTCCTGAGCCCTTGGTGCTCCCGGCATTCAGTCATGCCTGCCTTGTCTCCATCCGAACCACACTCATCACTTCCCGCTATGTGGTCACAGCCATGCCCCGCTTCCGTGCATTCCGCACCTTCTGCCCACTCCGCACCCTCTGCCCATCTCTGCACCTTCTGGCCACTTCTGGTTGCCCTTGACACCTCTGGTCAGGTCAACACCTCTGTACCTCTGTTGGCCTTCATGCTGTCCTTGTGTGACAGTGCTGGCAGATCAACCTCTGTTTGCGGACTTGTGTCGGCACCGCACCGACCCCGCTTATTTGCGGACTTGTATCGGTGCCGCGCGCTGACCTCCGCTTTTCCTCCGGCCATTTGTCACTTGGCAGCTTGTCATTCATTCTTTGCCGAGTGCCATTCATTGTTTGCTTCCCTGCCAATATTGGCATTTGATCCCCTCTTTATTGGCACTAGGTTATTGATCTCATTCAGTTATTCATCAATAACCCTTGCCACTTATTGTTTATTGATCTGTTCCTCATTTCCAGTTCCCGGGCTCTTGTCCTTATTTAGTTTGACAATCCCCGCTTATCTCCGCGCCGGACCGCGCCGGACTGACCGGCCTTTCTATCCCTCTTGCCTATTTATATACCTTGTAAATACTTTTGGGGACCTCAGTCTGAAATCAACTAGAGTACCCCCCCTGTCTGGTCTGAGTCTCTCCTTCTGCAAAGGGGGCTTCCCCCCTCTGAGTCCGTGCTCGCGGAGTCCGCGCTCCTCCTACAGGTCCGCTCCGCCCACAAGTCTGGTTTGAAGTCCGCTGTAAGTGTCAGTTTGTAAATATGGGATCTCCCCCAAACGTCAAGCTCAGGGCACAGCGCTCCACCTGAGTCGCTGAGGCCGCGATCCCACTCTGCTAACCTTGAACAGCGCTTCCGGACGCGCCGCATATTTCCGCCCGCATATCCGCGCGTGCGCGCTCCAACAGACCTCTGCCACAATCTCCGACACCGACAATATCCCAGCCTCTGACAAAATCCAGTCTCTGACAAGATCCCAGAGTTCATCACTCTCGCCACAATTTCTTATTTGATCACCCCAAGAACACCAAGAAGGGAAGCAACAGGAATGCTGTATGTTGGTGAGGGCAAGTATAGGACTGTCTCTGCATATAAGCCCTAATAATTGTTAGATTCAGACTTGCAGCTAGACACTGTTGCATAGAGTGTTGTTCCTCTCTTATCATGAGAGTGTGTATTTATCTTGGATAGATCTCGTAATGCCCAGGCTAAATGTAGAGAACACCAAAGAGAAACCGATTCTTCCATAAAAGCATGGCTTTGCAGGGATGACCAAAGCAATCAAATGAGAGGGTGAGTGCAAGAGACCAAGTAGCAAGGCGACATTGCTGGAGGTGGGAAAATGCTAAGGAATTCCGGACTTGAAAGTGACCTTGCAAGGTAACTCCTCTATGGCACTCTCCTCGCCTACCATCATAATTCTCCTCGTTTCCAGCTTTCCAATGATACCTCATTCATCCCAATTGGTCCAGTAGTTCATGAGATATTCATTGACAGGTGCTGTCGAGAGCATGTGAGGTTCAACACCATGTCGAATCATCCATATACTAAGGCTTCGTTCGGTATGAAGAAACAGGCCTGTTTCTTCCAGTTTTTCAATTCAATATTCTCTCTCATTTCTTCTACCTAAAGAAACACGCAATTTTTGTATTAAGAAACAGGAAGAAACAGACCAAAGAAACCTGTTTCTCCATACCGAACGAAGCCTAAGGCTCTGTTCGATAGAAAGAAACCCGTTTCTTTTTGTTTCTTCATTCAAAAGGTGACTGATTCTTTCTTGTTTCTTCTGCCACTTTTGTCAAGAAACGAGAAGAAACTGATGAGTGTTCGGCATGCCAGTTTCGTTGTCATTTCTTGCTACAGCTTTTTTCTTATAAACCTCACACATGTAAATTAAGCATGAATTATTGTTACAAGTATGGATGCTGATCTTGGCAACACCCATCCCTCGATAACAAATGACATCGTACACCCCGGGCCAAGGGGGAATCCACAAACCCACCTTCCAAGCGTGCTGTTTGGAAATCGCATGAGGAATATGCAGGTGGCACCTCAAATATCGGGTTCAAAGACAAGGTTTGGAACTCAGTTTCTGCACACTTAACTGAGGAATGCGGGCCTGTGTTCAAGCTGAGTGCTTGTAAGAATAAGTATGGCAAGGTGAGTATGAGATGAGTGACTAATCAGACCACTGACTATATCTCCGCCATAGTTAAAACAGATATACTGGGCCATCAAAAGACTTTCAGAGCAGTCAGGATTTCCGTGGAGCAATGAGAATGGTGCCGATAGAGCGATAAGTTTTTGTTGATACTAGATGCGATATTGTTATTGCTAGTCTTGCGTGTGGCCATTATTGTATATGATGGCATTTTAAAAAATAACGGTATAGGTACATATGGGATGCCCCGACACAAGCAGTTTCTTTCTTTCTACCGAACAGAGCCTAAGGATGTTCCATTTGGGACGATACTCCTGGGATTAGGAGGGTGGGTTGACATCACCAGTGTCTAGAGAGTGAACAGGTTTCAATGGTATTTGAGGCGATGAATTGTGAGAATCTAGCATGTTGCGAGTGCTCAGTTCTGAACAAGCCAACTAAAATCAATTGCTTATCTACCTAGCACATTGTAAGCGCTAGGATATTTACAAGGTTTTTAGTCATCGACCAAGTCAGCAAAGACAAGGAAGCTCACCTCAGTTCTGAACAAGCGAACTGAGGGAGAGACAAGGGCGAAAAATGAAGGCTTTTAAGCCTTCTATAATGCAGCTGGAAAAGAGTAATCAAGAAAGGAATGACAGACAATCATGTAGATCATGTGTCCGTGCGCAAGATATGTGTTGACCTTTCTCCTAATATGAATGTTGGGCATGCAAATTTTGACTTGGCGCTGTAACGGGTCTATTGCCTAGACACGAGACAGAGAAAAGGGGGAGGGTGGTAGTGATTGTGTATGTGGTTGGGAGGTCCAGGTTTTGGTCTTGGGGCGCTACTGTGTCTACTAGAGCCTCAACTAAACACTCACGTACGTCTCTCTTGGATGTCAAGGCTGAGGATTATGAGTAGAGGGGTGTTAGATGTTAGCAACAAGCTCAGGGGGGGCATGGGGCCGTGGATGGCGTCTTTGCCACTTGGATGTAACTACTTTTTACTCCTTCATGGGTCTATTCATTGCTAACTTGTTATGTACATGTACAAGGTATTTTCTATTTTATATGAACTGGAAATGAAATGATTGGGATGGGGAAATTTGAATGGGCCGATAGGCAACCATAAATAAAGAATGTCCAATTAGGAACAGAGAAACAATAAAAGAAATATGAATGAATGGGGAAATTGTGACAATGGGTCCCAGACAGAAATTGTAAAAGTTAACTCCGCAACACCGCCCGCCTATCCTCTCGCCAGCAACCTCCTCGTCTCCAGCTTTCCAACGAACCCTCATTTGTCCCAATTGGTGCAGTAGTTCCTGAGATATGGCCATTGACAGGTGCTGTCAAGATCACGTGAGGCTCTACACCATGCTGAACCATCCAAGTATGGGATTTCCACTCTGGGAAATGCTCCGTGGGCAAAGGGGGAAGGTAGATCGTCACCAATGGGTAGAAAAACCGCTGGGTTTAATTGGCAGATCGGGAATGGAGGAGCTCCTTGGGACATGGCAGATGAGGCCTGGCTCACCAATGCCCAAAAAAAAACCATGTCCTCCAGAATGTCTACGATGCCAACATCCAAAGGGCAGTCCACAGCCTCACCAGTCATGGAGGACAGCCCGACTTTCCCCACTTCATCGATGAAGACAGGTGCTCATGCACCATTTAAGTACGATGACCCCATTGAGCTTGGGAATGGAGCCAAAATATCAACAATATCCAGCTCATGTAGCAAGACAGAACTTACAACTGAGGGGCAATGAATGGAGGCGTGAAACAAATATATCGCTGCGGTTCTCTGGGCATACCCACACCGGGTAGTCAAGTTTCACATGTACCACCAGTACATCATCTGATGCTTTAATACCCATCCAAACACCACTCAAATACAACCAGGCTGCAAGGAAGTTCTTTCATGGAAACACCCACCCTCGCTTGGAAGTGACCCTGGAAAATTGTAATAGGTTGGCCTGGTACCAGCTCTGCTAGGTAGCCCTGTTACTATCTGAGGGGGCCAAATATCAGATTTCGAGTGCCAGGACCTCCTATCAGATACGTGCAGTCTGATGGGGTCATCCTGATGGGATGCCTGGGATGTACTGACAGGGTGCCCTGGGAGTTATTGATAGGTAACCCCATCTGTTTTAATAGTGCATCACAATATATTCATTTGGCATGGTACTACATAGTAATACATGGCACTTGCCATTGCAATGGCACACCGACTAAGGTAGCAGGAATACCCAAAAAAAGGAAGATGATGCTGCAGGCTGTCACGACCCGACATATCCATCACTTCTGTCAATGTGTCCTAGTGCCACTTGGCCCATCCTGCCCGCTACCATCATCATCCATCCATCCATCTGTCCACCCGTCACCCTCACCTGCACTTCCTCCCCCGCGCATGTACCTTCCAACCTAGGTCACCCGCTTCATTGTTGTCCACCCGCCAGCTGGACAGCTTGCTAGACAGCCAGATGGTCTTTTCTCTTTTGTCCACTTGCGGACTATTGTTCCTCCTTTGTCACTCATTGTTCTTGCTTGCCTTTTGTTGACCAAGTTTTCTGATATTAACTATTTGTCTCTTTCTTCATTCATTAATATTGTGCTTGATCCACCACTCCTTCTGGGCCGGTCCTATTTAGTTACTTGTGTTTATAACGCATGTAGGTTACACTGGATGTACCTCAGTTCGTATATCGACTTGGATTCCCCCTCTAGACTCCTCTCCTCATCATAAGGCTTCTGTCTGAAATTGGGACACCAACGTAAGAATGAAGTGCAGCACTCCACCCGAGTCACTGAAGCTAAAGTCCTGCCCCTCCAACCTTATGAGCCCAGACGACTTCGCATGCCTTGCAGGTCACCCGGATATGCGTCTGACACGTTCCTGACACAGGCTCACCATCACTTGGCCACAGCATACCATAATCCCAAAGGAATCCAAGAATTTCAACATGAATACAGGGGAAAGCCATCGCAGGGGTCTGTCAGGGACCAGTAACCTGACGTTTGAATTTCCACACCACAAGGACTCTGTGAGCCTTTCTTCATTCCCTTCCCACATTGACGATTTCAATGTAGTTCTGTAGGCCTTGTACCGTAGCTTCATTAGCTACATGGAATCACTGCAGCATGACGAAAACTGGATGCCCCCCACACTACCACTCGGTCATGTGCTACAAATGGAACCACATGCATTCCAGGAAATGCTGGACACTGTTGGCCCTCTCATCTTGGTCAGCCCACTGGGGGCACTTGAATTCAATGTTTCAACACTTTTTGGTCTGATGGACTTTCAGGGTGTCTCACAGTGTATAGGTGAGTCCATGTCCTCCTTCCATTGGGCTCGCTGACATGGTTCTCAGACTCCGATGGGGATGAGGACCAGATCCTGGAGATGCTGGCAGGCGATGCTGCTCATGAAATGTGTCATTGGTCCACATCCAGGCCATTGATCATGGAGCATGTCCCAGCGACTGCTGGGGCGTATCAAGCTGTAGAGAGGTGAGTCTCTTTATTATGTCCCATATGTAGTGTTATGGAAATGGGATTTTCCCATTTTTAGCCTCTTATGGGCTCTGTACAGTACAAAGTCACGTGACATGTAAATAATAACAACTTAACCAACAACAATCACAAAAATCCACACCTTGTTAATGTCATTGTAAAGACAACTGTTAAACCTCTGTTACATTAACTGTAACACTATTTCGATGTCATGGCCACTCCCTGCACCTGGACGCTATAGAAATGGGCCAATTTTTATAACATGTAGCTTACACAGTTACAGGCTCCTCAACACTCATGATGTGGCACTGGCTGAATTCCCTGTTGGCCACCAGGTTAATGTTCATGGATGGCGAGGACCAATGATTTCCGCTGTTGGATCTGTGCATCCTCCCCAACAGAACCCAAATGGCATTGGCCTGAGCCTTTCCTGTGCTAGTGGCAACGTTGTGTTCTTCATCCCGATTCTGGAGGAGGGCCAGAAAATCATTGTGGATTTCGATGATGTGGAGGAGCCTGCCTCTCTAGGCTATGAGTACCTTTACCAACCTCCACATCAGTTCTCATCCTTTGTTCTTTCACAAGGGCAAACAGTGTAAGTAAATCTGTTCATCTGTGAGTGCCCATCTCAGTTGTTCTGTCTTCAGTATCTTTCCACCTGGGCAAATCTTTGCCTATGCAACGATTTCGGAACCATGCATCATAATGCATTATGCAAGGCTCATACTTCCTTGCTGCAGGGTGTATGAGGCACTCGTTTTTGGCCAGCTGGCTTGATCGCAGCTCCAAGGATGACTCCATGAGTGAACATTCCTGGAGCTCTACCGTGATGGCATGCTTAATGGCCATGGTGTTGAAAGCAGTGCATGTGCCATCCACTCCAGAACGACAACCCCACTTGGTGAACATCCCCAACTTGTTTTCGCTGGCATCAATGGCACTCATGTTCATTGGACAGCAAGAGCATGAGATTGGGGAAGTCATGAAAGCCCTGGGACACAGCTGTATCGAGCAGGATCCCAAAGCTTGTGCAGAGGTTGTGGCCGAATTCAACAACCTTAGGATCACAAATCATGCGTACAAGGGAGATGATGTCACCCCTGACCAGCATACAGAGTGTGATGCCAAGGCAGCTGAGTTCCATCAGAGTATGATGACTGCTGTCCAGAACATGAATTCTTCTTGACACTTGTGCCCCCCTCCCCTTTTGTGTTTTTTCTACACTGTCATCATTTTGTACTAGAAATGGCTGCTGCACCGCCCAGACCTTGCTTGTGTGAGGTTTTCTTTTCATTGTTCATCTGATTGCACTTCAACTCCACATCATAAATTATCTGGATATTTAATTAACAAGATAAGGCAGTTGATAAAGTCCTTGAATGTCATGATGTTATAGTAATAATGGAGAGTGGGAGTAGGGGCCGCATACATGATGCAGGCCCAAGAAAGGGTGAAGTGCAACGTGCTTCTGTAAGTTGGCCCTCAGCAAAAGCTGAAGAGCTGTATGGCTGGTGTAAAACCAGTAGGGAGACGGTCACATAGACTGTCTACAACCTCAGCATGAGGAAGAGGCGTGGGGGAGATATGAGCCCTTTCAAACTCCAGCTCATTGGAGCATCATGCGCTTCAGTGAGCTGGCACTCGAAAAACCCTTGATCTGACGCAAAACCAGCAGGGAGACAGCCATATAGACCGCCTCTGCACATGCAATATCAGTGTGAGTGGGAGGTGGAAGGGGTATGGGTAGTTTATTAGCATTTGTTGAAGCATGATGCGCTTTGGTGAGCTGGCACTCAGCAAAGGCTGAAGTGCTGTCAATCCAGTGTAAACACGGTTGGGAGATGGTTGTATGAACCATCTCTGACCTCTCAAGATGAGAGGGAATAGGAAGAAGTGTGCCTCCAGGCACACTAACAGAGAGTCGGATTTTGGCCAGTGAGGACGCAGGATGTGGGTGGCCCTGGTTGAGTCTGATAGCATGAATGGCATGAAGCTTGCTCTCCATAATGCATCAAAGTGGGCTGCCAAATCTGGCGAGAAGTCCGTCAGTTGGCAGGGTCACTGACTCTGCCAAGGTTCTTACAATCTGCTCTAGGTGGTTGAGGTGGCCGTCCATGGCCTGTGAGGGCCATGTTGGAGACTGCTATTAGCCATCAAGGGTTTGAAAATCGCTGGCATCAGTGGTTTGCAGAGGTGTCCCAAGGCCAGGCCTTGGGGATGTGTTACGGGGATGGGGGGAAATCCCCAATCCTCGGTTCTTATAGCAGGATGACGGACGTTGTATCTAGTCTGTACCATAACGGGATATGTAATCGATGAGTGATCCCAGTCTTGCAAGGGAGTGGATGATCGAATTCCCATCAATCGTGATTGGTGATGTAGTGAGCTATTAAGGAATTGATGGTAGGTAGTCGGAGACGTCATGACGGACGTATCAGCCACGGGTACTTGGCGCTCCTCAATGGAGCGTACCGTGTGCGAGGTCGCGACTCGTGAGTGTCAGGGCACACCCGCCTGACCCGGGCCCACCCGGGCCCACCCAGCCACACCACACCCGCTCCCCGCTGTCTATCCCCCTCCCCCCTCCTTCCTCCCTCTCCTCCCCTTTCTTTTCCCTCTTCTTTCCCCTTTTCTTTATTTCATTCTTCTCACCTTCCTCTTCCTGTTTATTTCTTTCTATCTACACGGACCACCTTCCTTTGTATCGATGTACTATTGACCCGTCCGGCCCACACACCCCAGACAGCTTCCCGCTGTGCCCAGCACGCGTGCATGCAGCGGACGCTCTCGGGATCCCCCATGGGGACACCTGGATGCCTGCGGCTGCCCCCGAGGATGACGTGGCACCTGTCATGTGACTCAAGCCACATGTACATAAATGTACCTGAAGTGGGAACCGAAGAAGTAACCTTCTTCTCACATTCTCCACTTCAGTCTGAGTGGCCAGGGACCACTGTCCCGGATCGGGCCCGCCAGTACCCATGCCCGCTCCGCACCCCGCGACGGCCTCAGTGCCGGATACTACCCCCGGGCCCTCTCGACCCCGGACGCGTCCCTGACAGTGAGGTGGGTGAGGACTTCATATAACTGCCATCGGGTACTTGGCGTTCACAGTGTGAACGTACCAGTAGCGGGTTGATATCATGAGCGTGCAATGAGGATTGACTAACAGGGCCTTCGGTGACTTGGCGGGGGAATATGATGACTGACGAAGGAGGGAACAGACGGTGGACAGGCGGCTACTTGGCGTTCGCATAGCAAACATGCCGGCATCATGGGAAAGTGGACCTCAGAGTATTCACGATCTCCATGATCGTGATGTGACATTGTCTGTCGAGCACTGGGGGGAGAGCGGAGTGATGAAGTCCCATAGGGTACAGGTTCCATAGGATGATACACAGGTTGAGAGTCTTCGACTCGCGACCTCGAGTTCTCACGGCGAGGACCATTAGAGGACTCGACATAACCAGGCTTATAAGACATGTTGTGAGTTGTACAGTCACACGGTTCAGTTGAGTCACAGGATGGGTTGTACAGAAGATGACACACAAGACAGTTGTAGAGAGTAGTTGTTAGTTAGCGGGAACCGCCTTCGGCGGTTTCCGTACAAGACGTGTGACTATCTACAAATGGTAAGGTCACGGGAAATCCTGCGAAACACAAGTAACCTCGGCCAGCACCAAAACCCCAATGGGGAAAGCTTTGCATGAGGGGGGGGAAAGGGGTAGAACGGGTAAGGAGGATAGGGTATCAGGATAGAGGACGGAAGGGAGAAAGATGGGGGGAACGATAGAGAGGAGAAGTCTTTGACCATGCGACGGATATGGTCATTGGAGACTCCGTATCCGTAACAGGATGCATTAATTTGCCTGGTTTGGGCAGGTAAGGGCATGTTAGGGACCATGGAGGGTCCCATAGGCACGTTATCACACCTGACATTGTGAATGTCAGGTGGACCGACTCTGGTAGTGCCATAGTCGTTCACTTTGGGGCCGGTTGCGTTAAACCATGTTGCCTTCTTATTGCAAGAAGGCAAGGGCTCATGGGATGACCCTGCAGGTCCCATGGTGACGGTGGTGACAGTGGTGGTGCGAAGTGGGGATTTAAAGATTAGTGCACTTCATGACGTTGATCTTGCCAATAATGGCAGTTGTAGCACGATTCAACTTTTGTCCGCTACTCCAGGTTTTGTCAAAAAAATGTAACTCACCAATATAAAGTTCCATCAGAGTATGATGACTGCTGTCCAGAACATGCATTCTTCTTGACACTTGCACCCCTCCCCTTTTGATTTTTTTCTACACTGTCGTTGTACATTACTTCACACATGGGAACAAGTTCTGAGGATTTACCACATGACGTTCAACACGGTGTCGAACCCACATGGCCTATGCTTTCACATGTTGAGGAAATGAGGACTAAAGAGACACAACAAGCTGTCGACTATTAGGATAATTGGGTATGGTTTGGGTTGGAATGGGGAATGCAACAGTGGCCATAAGGGATTTCCATCAATTATTTTAGTGCAGCATGTCATACTTTCATTGGCATAAAACATAACAAGGGTGTCTAATAATAGTAATAGTTGTTATTGCTTAGCAGGATGTCATGCATTTGCTCACCATAACAACGAGGATGATGTATAGGGCTCTATTAGAAGGGTAGCGATTTACGCTAGCGTGTTACGCTAGCCTAACGTTGTTGAACTAATAGCATTGAAACTAGTTACTGTCATATCCATACAATCCCGACCTCCGCTCCGGGCTCCCGGAACTCCGAACTCCGACTTCCAGAGCCCTACTTCCCTTCCGTCACCTTCTCCTTGCCGACTCCCAAGAGGTTATCCCACCTCCGGCTCGGACACCACCTTCGGTCCGACTCCGGAACATTCCGGGTCCGACCCCAACCTCGACACCTTCCAGACGAGTACGCAACACCTATGCTCCCGACTCCGGACCTCCGCTCCGGAATCCTGTTTGCGTCTCTGTCTCCGGAACCTCCGGTCTTAGCTCCGACCTCGGACTTTGACCCCACCTCCGCTTATACCCATTGTATTGGTTAGCTCATTCCATTTAATTACGTTTGCCAATATTCCGGAGTTTAACCTCCGAGTTCGGACTTTCCGGACTTACTCCGGACCTTGCAACTATTGCATTGTCCATTTCAATTCCGCTATTCTCCCTCATTCCTATTTGGGCTGCTGCTTCCTTTCTATTCAGTCAGCTAGCCATTCCCGACTCCCATCCTCCTTCCTTCCTTCTTGGGTCTTAGCCCTTCATTCCTCCTTTGGGAAACACCATTGAGTCAAACACTTGACCCTTGGTGTTGTTCCTCTTTCCATCTCCCTTTGTCTCCTTTTGTCCTACCCTTGTTCCTTTTGATTCCGGACCCCTCCTTATATACAATGTACCTAGTAACTTGTAACCTCAGTCCGAAATAGACATGAATTCCCCCAAGAGACTTTCCCTCTGCTAGATCCGAAATTAGGGACCCCTAGGACAACCAGCAATGGCACAGCGCTCCGCCTGAGTCGCTGAGGCCGAGGTCCTTCCATGCTAAGTCTCCGATTCCATTCCGGAGTCGTCCGAATCCGCAAATTCTAACAGTTACCTAGCATGTTACACTAGGGTACATGAAAGTGTGTAAGTCATTAAGACAAAACGCTCAGAATCCAGTCTGACTAATATGCAAGCAGGGGGAAATGATACAAATATTGGGCAATGTCATTGTAGTGATTGATCGTTCCATTGCATTCGAACTGCATGGCGAGGCATTACGAGCCCCGCATTACTCCAAGGTGGGCCATTTTGGGGCAATGATAGCAATAGTTTCTGTAGCATTGTCAAGTGTCTGTCATTGCATTTCCGTATATCGAAGGTCCACTTCCTCATCGCTTCCTCTTCCATGTCTTTTGAAACATTGACAGGCCAGTATGACGAGGCTTTATGTTTCTGGACGACTGGTTTGAACCCATAGAAGTCGCTGTGAATGATGCATGGTTGGTTTGATAGGTTATCTGGATGATTATGTTGGTGGAATCATCTTTCACTGAACATGGCCCTTGCAGCATCAATACATGCTGGGCTATTGACCACAATCACCTTCACATTCAGAGTGATGGTGATGCAAACCTTCCATTCCAATAGGGGCCCCTGCCATTACGTACCATGATACAGGCTGCCCCCAAGGGTCAAGCTCACCAGGGTTTGTAGGGGCCCCAATGGATGGCTTGTGTCATGGTGCATATGATGGGGGCCCCCATTGAAAATGCCCTGTTGGGTAGGCCTAGCAGCGCATAATGGGTACCCTAAGGGCCTTGCTGGTTGAGCAAGGAGCTCTAAGTGCCATCAAGGGCACGTGCCATTCGACATGCTGTCAAACACTTCGCATCTTCACCAATACTGCATCATTCAGTGGGAGACTTGGTGGAAAAATATCCCCTTTTTATTCTGTAGTTTTCTATTATGTGGGCATCCTTGGGTCTTGGGGGGTAAATATTATAGCTTCTCTCTTGTTCGAGAGGGTGTTTTTTGACATGTTCCCTATCTGTGGGATTGGCATCAGGACACCTCCAAGGTCGATTGAGCTGATTTGATCAAATCCCTGGGATTCCCTCCCTGCACCCCAATCGGTTCGATCATGCCAACCTATCATGTAGATTTATCTACATTCCAAAATGAGATATAAATTTATGATCTTATTTACAAAAATTAAAGCAAGCGAAGGCATTACAGGGGTCCAAGGTGAAGGAGATTGTGTTTAAAGTTCCGGTGAAAAACGATCACCTGTTATCCAAGGGTGACTTGCTGCATCACTAAGAAGAGGCCTCCTCTCAGGCTCTCTGCACAGCAGCTAGTAACAAATCAGTATGAGTGCCAAGCAACAGTAGGTTGGACACACAAGTTCGATGAAGTCACAAGCTTCTGGGGAAATGTGACTGGGAAGTTCCAAGTCCACTGACACAATCTGTTGGTATGTTGCTGTCACATAGCATCAGTCAAAGACAGGATAACTCATCGCATGGGGAACACTAACCTATGAAACTGTTAGAACTAGCGGATTTGGACGACTCCGGAGTGGAATTGGAGACTCAGCGTGGAAGGACCTCGGCCTCAGCGACTCAGGTGGAGCG